AAGGCAACTGAAGTAGTGTGAGTCTTGACAACTGACTCCAAAGTATGTTTAGCGGCACTAATCTGATGCCTGGCAAAGACCATTCCCTCATTTTGAATCTTTTTTGCTTGGGAACAGAATTCCTTAGGAAGGTGTGATAAAAACTCTGACATACGTTTCCAAAGGTTGAATTGGTAATGTCCCATGCATGCAGCGTAATTGGATGTCTTTATGCCCGTCGCTCCTACAGTATAAAACTTTCTCCCCATAGAGTCGATCTTCTTTCCTTCTTTTTCTGGCGGAATAGAACGACTCGATTTTCCTTTTGTGGAGGAAGTAACCACAAGAGAGTTCGGTTTGGGGTGAGTAAACAAAAATTCAGCCCCCGTTTCTTGGATTTTATACACGTGATCTAATCTCTTATTAGACACGGGCAATGAAGAAGGGCGATCCCAGAGATCTTTCGTAGTTTGCAACATCACCTTGGTCATAGGTAATGCTACAGAGGATGAAGTGCTAGACTGCATGATGTCAAAAACATTATCATAGAGAGGTCTAATGCCATCCGTTGAATAAAGTCACCATATGACTTGACATCCTCTGAAGGTGAAATAGGGAGATCGGCCTCAACATCCGGAGGTGGAGAAGGAAGGTCTGCATCATCCCCTTGATTAGAGAGTTCGTCTGCACTAGAGGAATCCTCAGAAGGCTCAGAAGAGGGAGCGGGCAAAATCGGTACCGATGGTACATTAGTCGGTATTGACGGAATCGGTGCCGGAGGCAGGGCTGGGCATGAGTTGTGCGTCGGCCTCGAACTCTTTGACCCCGATGCTGGGTCTCTATACTGAGATACTCTGGATGACACCGACTGACGATCCCAATCCATCGGCGGTGGAGGCGGAGGAGGAAGGGCCCATTGTGGGTATGGATAGCTGCCATAAAGGTATCGCCATTGGCGTTGATCCCAAGTTAAAGGAGGCAAAGGAGGTGGTCGGTGTCGATTGTCCATGCTGTGCGATGGTGAGCCAGCAAGAGACTGATGGCCAGAGAGTTCAGCTTCTGACAACGGTGCCTGTTGGGTGAGATCCATATCCGGATCAGAGTCGACAGACTGAGTGTGGTCCAGAGGACTAGAAACTGGAGCACGACCTTGACTAGCAGACACCGTAGAGGCTACCTGAAGAGGCTTGATTTAGAGCCCTTTTTAAGCTTTGTATGCTTTTCTTTTGTGCCTTTGCCCTGCTTCTGGATCTTGGAAGGTGCGGCATTATGTGACCCCTGCTTCCGGATCTTGGAAGGTATGGGGCTGTCGCAGATCAATACCGACCATTTCGGTGTCGATGCATCGATAGCGACCATCGATGTAGAAGCTCCCGAAGCGGGAAGAGGGGCGTCCGAAGGCAGAGTAGACATCGAAGCATGCCCAGACGTCTCCAAAGGAGAAGAAGACTGTGGGGAAAGAGCCTTCTCCATGAGTGCCAAATGCAGCCGAGCAGCTCTATTTTTTCGTGTTTGGTTCGAAATTTTTTGACAATGTCGACACGAAGTAACGCGGTGTGATTTCCCTAGGCACAGTAAACAACGCGAATGTCCACAGGATTTACACCACTTGAAGAAGCCCCACCACGCGGCCATAGGCCGGCGAAGAGAGAAACGATTCAAAGTTGAACCCAAAAGAAAAATACTCTAAACTAAGAGAAAAATTAAAGAAAAAAGGCTAACGCAGAAAAAGACAAGGCTAGAAGTAAATACTTAACCGACCAAAGCAAGGTGTCCTACCAGCACGGCAGTCAGAAAAGAACTGGCGGGATCAGCGTGCCCCTCCTTGGTCATGCGCAGTGGAGCCCGGCGTGTGACCTGGGAGTGGGTGCGAAAATCCCTTTGGCTTTCTAACGGTACCGAACAGGGTCAGCGCAGGCGCAGACTATTCCCAAGGGTGTGATGCACAGAGACCATGAAGAAGATCAGTCAGTTCTCCGGAGATGATGTTGTCTTATAGCCGATCCCAAGCAAGTAAGTCCGGTGGTATCACTCACGCAAAAATTGTGGTAGATCTTCCCGGGCCATCCTTAACCCCAATGTTATCCACATCATTGGTGGCGGTGGTAGTGGCGGCCCCTATGTGAAAGTCTGGTGGAAGAGCTCCATCTTACAGGCCCTGCGGAACTGTATAAGGTCCCGCAGGGCCTTGATCTCCTCCGGGAGCTCGTTCCACCAGGTAGGGGCCGCCACTGAAAAGGACCTGGCCGTAGTCACAGCGAGCCTTGCCTTCCGGGGGCCTGGAACCACCAGGTGATGTTGTGCCCCTGACCGAAGTGCTCTTAGCGGTATATGTGGGGAAAGGCGGTCCCTCAGGTAAGTCGGACCCTGGCCATATAGGGCTTTAAAGGTAAGAACCAGCACTTTGAAATGGATTCGGTATGCTATTGGCAGCCAGTGCATCGCCTTCAGCCCAGCCTGGATGCGCTCCCACTTGGGAAGATCCATCATCAGCCTGGCCACCGCATTCTGCCCAAGCTGCAGCTTCCGGATCTGCACCAAAGGCAGCCCCATGTAGAGAGCGTTACAGTAGTCTAACCTCGAGGTGACCGTCGCATGGATCACTGTAGCCAGGTCATCGCGGCTGAGGAAGGGAACCAACTGCCGAATCAGCCTAAGATGATAAAATGCCGATCTGGCAGTGGCTGCCACCTGGGCCTCCATAGTTAAGGAGGGATCCAGGAGCACTCCCAAACTCCTAACCTCCAACGCTGGCACCAACGCGCCCCATCGAAGGTCGGGAGAGGAAGCCCCAACCCCGGTCCAGTCCGACTCAGGCACAGGACCTCCATCTTCGCTAGGTTTAGTTTCAGCCGGCTCAGCCTGAGCCACCCAGCCACGGCCTGTAACGCCCGGTTCAGATCTTCTGGGTCGGAGCCCGACCGGCTGCCCAACATCAGATAGAGCATCATAAAATCGTAAGGTGCTATGCAGAGCTATTCAGAGGCAAGCAATGGCAAACTAACTCAGAGCATCTTGTCTTGAAAACCCTACAGGGTCACCATAAATTGACTGCAACTTAATGGCACATTCCACCACCCAACTATTAACAACCATCAAAGACTCAAATCCAGCTAACATACCCATACAACAACTTCCTGGTCAAGAGGCTATTAATTAATATGGCAATTTTGAATCAACAATGAAGTCACACTTGAAGTCTAAGTCCCTCCCTTTCCTTTCAGCCAGCCAGTTTTTCATATCACACATATCCCTCCAGATTAGGCCTCTTCCCATGTTAGATTTTTAGGAATATGCCCAAGATGTTTCAAGTGCATACCTAAAAATGTAAGTGGGAAAGCATCAAACAGTGTGTTTGCAAATATATGTCATTCAGATACTTTCATCAGGGAGCCAGCAATGATCGGTTCAGCTGTTCTTACTGTTCAAATGAAATCCATAGAAAAATCAAGCTATTTAAACTTGGATGCACAGTGAAAGGGAAATTTATTTGTTATTTGTCAATTCAGTAAAGGAACCTGAGTACTATTCTATCTGTGTAGCCTGAGTCTTGATGAGTTCTCATGAATTCTGCTCTTGTCCATAAATTAGGGAGGAGGAAATTAACGGTTAAAGACTGAAGTGATACGCTGTATATGTATGATGGCATGGAGGTATGTCCAGGATTCCATGTACATAGTTCATCATTGGATGCTATCTTGACTTGTATTATTCCTGCCATGTTTGGCCTTAACATAAAGTTCTAAACTGAATTTGCTTCATGCAGAATTCAGTGGCAGCCTAGGATACATGGAAGCCCTGTGACAAATGTTAATATTCTTACTTTACTTTTGTAGCTTCCCTTGAAATTTCTCATGTTTCCTGGGGGTGGAGGCGCAACTTGGCCACAAATTCAGCCTTAATTGGAAATATGGTGCCAGTTTTATTTGCTGCCCTATTTCAGAGAAAATTACCCATCAAGCCTACAGTAAAGTAGGAAGTAAAGGGGAAGTGAAACAAGCACAGCATCGGGTCTTAGGTGCTAAATGGACACTCCTCCAGAGAAGGCCTTGCTTTAGGCTTCTGCAAGGAAATGCTGATACAGTCCTTTTGCTTCTTTGGCAGGTGAAGATGCACACTGTGTCCTACGTTCATCTCTTCTACTTTGGCCTCTGTTTGCTTACGTTAACCTGTTCCTCTGCAGCTGCTGGCCATGAGACGCTTTGTGGAGCTGAGCTGGTTGATGCTCTTCAGTTTGTGTGTGGAGAAAGAGGTTTTTATTTCAGTAAGTAGAAGATTAATAATTATTCCTGTTGTTCAAAAGTCTGGATATTTTTTTCCTCACAACATGTCAGGGGATAGTCCAACCAAGCTGCAAAAATACGGAACCTCTCCTGAGTGCTTCAAATCTGAAAGGAACTCGATTTTGTAAAGCATTGCGTTTGGTCTGAATTCAGCATTTTCTCCCCCCTCCTCCAAGCTTTAACAAGTTTTCTTTTTCAAGAATGTTGTGCCTTTTCATCACTCCTCTTTTCCTCTTGCTGTATTTGCTGCTTTCTAAGGACCTTCTTAATGGAAAGGCACAAGATGTTGCATCTGTTAATGCCTTAGAACTGCACTGCAATGCTTTTAAGTGAGTTAAGAACTGGGTGCCACATCATATTACTGTCCCACTTAGCTATAACATCTGGTCTGAGTAGTTCTGTGAATGGGCATTCATCAAAAATAGGAAGTGTAGGAGGAAGAAAATTATAATGTAAAGCAATTGCTATGAGAAGACTTTACTGCATCTGTCAATTCCTGCCCCTGCCCCGACTTAAAGAGACGCTGGGAGAAGGAGAGGCCTCTGCACGGAATTCCGGAAAGCTAAGGAAGTTCTTGTAGCTTATTTTAATCTGAATTCCATTCACAACTTAGTTACTTCTGTCAAGTCTTTTATTCCATAGAGGAAAAAGAGGTTGTCCTCAATCATTAGCAGATGTTAGTAGTTTTATACACTCAAGGTATGCAATGATTGTAACTGAGAACCGTGATGTGTGATTTGTCTTGCCTGTGTGAGGACAAACTCAACAGTCTGAATGAAGGAGAAATAACATTCAAAAGAATGTATTGTAAAACTGATCATCAGTTATTCCAAGGGAACTAGTATGAACTAAATACCAAACACTAGAGGTTTTTTGCTACCCTGGTAGTGTTTCATAGACTATCCTTCTGACCCTTTATCCTTAGTTGTAGTCCCTTCCCTAATATTTCTTTGTAGTTTGTAGTATTTGCAAAATAAAAAATATCCCTCCGGGGATTAATTTTTTTTTTTAAAAAAAGCTTTCTCTATGTGGATCAACTGGACCAGGCATGCAGCAGGCTGTGGGGGGAATATAGGAAATTGTTCTAAAATTTTGTCAACTTGTCCAGCCCCAATTCAGAATGTGTGTAAAGACAGGCTTGGACAGAACTTAAATTTGCATGAATTTTTCAAAAAAGTAATTATTTCGCACTTAAAATTTGTATGAGTTGAAAAACTCCCATTTCTTTCTTTCAAGAACTTCTGCTCCCTATCCAGACAGAAAGAACTCCTGAGTATTTTTATGAGCTGCGACTTTATATTGTTGAAATTCCTGATATTTCTCTTGCAGACCACAATTAACCATGATTCTAATACTGGTTTTGTTAAAACCACTGGGAATTCTCCCATCATTTCCAACAGACTTGAGATCTCAATCCACAGATCCAGGTTACTGGCATTTGGATTTTCCTACATATAAATGGAAGGAAAGAACCACTATGGCCACTGTGGATCAAGATCTCAATTCTATTGAAAACTGGAAGCCTACAGTAACAAGAAGAGACTTGTAGTTATATATAATATGCAGCTTTCTTTTCCTTACCGAATCACACTTGCAACATTCAGAAACGAAGCATTATAGAGCGGTTTGCAAAGCTGGCTCTAAGGAATTTTGGAAGTTTTTCAGATTGTCTTCAGTGAGGCAGTCAGGAAGGTAGAAAGCTTCTCCTTGCAAAGTATACAGATACAGGAGAGTGTTGAGTATATTCTAAAGGACATGGGAGTCAGTTCATGCAAGGTACTGATTAGGTCCCACAGACCTAGCCAGCACCCTATGCAAATTAAGTATTCACCCTAGGATATGCCCCAGAATCCTCATCAGTGCATTAGGATTCCTTGGCAGACAAGTTTTCATAGAGGCTCTCTCATCTATAAAACAAAAGCTTGAAAACCACTGCATAATTTCTTTTATTTTGGACTTATTGGACTTATTCGAGACAAGAAAGTATTAACATCACAGTTGTGGGGGAAGGTCCTCTCTGGTTAAAGTATTGATGTTTTTACAGGCAAGGGGATGAGGTCACAGTACACTCATCCTTTTTCAAACTATGTTCAGGTGGAAAATCTCATATAACACTAGGGAGCTCTTTCATGTTTTGGCAGTAATTTTTTTTTGGGGGGGGGGGCAATTCCATTCTAAGCTGAGGTCTTTTTTTCTGTTCAAAACAGCAGTTAGTATGATAGGTGGATGGAAACAGTAGATGCTATACTTTAATATAGACTTAAATCCATTTGATGCTCCCACCATGTAAGGATGGCTGTCAAAACTATATTGAGAGATTATTACTGGCTCTAAATTATTATTTTATTGTGTTTTACCCCATCATTCCTGCAAGGAACTCATGCAGTATACATGACACCTCCCTTCTTTTATACCTTCAACAATGCTTTGTGGCAGGTTAGGCTGAAACGTGGTAACTGGCCCAAGGTCATCTAGTAAGCTCCATGGCTGAGGAAGTATTTGAACCCAGGTCTCTTTGGCCTAACCAGGACACCACACTGCGCCAGGACTTAATACCTAGCTGAAAGTGCTCCTGGAGTAATGAAGATTTGTTGAAAATGTACATAAATACATAAGGAGAAATGCTGGTCAGCACTGATCTAGTTACTGCATATCAAAATATAACAAGCCTTGTGTACTCTCTTTAAATGCATATATTAAGAGTGAAGAAAAATAACACCAATAATTGCTGACTACTTATCACTGTTGTTACTTGGCCAAGTATATGGACTCCTACAAGCCTTTCTTCACACTGGGGAACTATTATGTCAAGAGTCCTACATCCATCTATCTTTGTAGCTGATTAGACTGACAATGTGAGCTTTTCTTCTCCACAAATACCTCTTTCACCATTTTGCTGTGTTTAATTTTAAAACGTGCTTTGTTGGATCAGAAACTAGTTGCTTTAGGTATACTAAGTGCTGGTGATATTAATAAAAACTACCAAGGTTAAATCTCCTCCTCAGATCATGAAAGCATTTCATTATAGCATGGGTGCACTTCAAACTTAGCTTTATGCTTATTTAATGTCATGGTTTCCTTAAAGGAATACTGGAAATGTCTTATTTCATAAGAGTGCTAGGAATTCTTTATTGGAGGTCCACAGCATGCCTAACAAAGCTCAGTTCGCAGGATTTCCTGGGAAGAGGGAATGTCTATTAAGCAAATTTAAGTTTTTAGTATTAGATACATATATTGAAGCTACCTTTAGTTGCAACCATGATATTAAAGTTTTTGACCAATGTTTAAGCACCTGCCAATTTTGAGGAAATGTAGTGCTCATAATAGGTTCTCTGGAGTGGCAGTCTGAAATACTAAAGTATTCTGTTTCTCCACAGAGCAAATACAGAATGGGTAGCACCAATGTAATCTTCCCTACAATGTCAATGGGCCTCAATCCTGACCATGGTCTCTGGGGTGAGAGGGGCAGTTCATTTCACATGCTGATTCTGTCCTTGGAATTCTAAGTTGAGAGTGCCAACAAGAATGCCAACAACCACTAATTAATAGTGGTTATTCTCTTGGTAGTTTTTGCTATGTGAACACATGTCCCTTGGCCACAAGACTGAATACTGCACTTGGAGATGTACTAACATGTGGATGCCAGATATGAAACTAACGTACCGTGTAAGATCAAGTCTCCTAGTTATTTCTTAGATGGAAGATCTCCAAGAAAAACAAGCTGCTGCAGAAAATGCTTGTTCGGTTGACCTTACTTTGCCATCTGAGTCAGTTCATGCTCAGGGTTAGAGAGAGGCCATCATTTGGCTGACAAGGAGACATCCTATCCACTGAAAAAAAGACACAGGACTGTAGTTTTCAAGTATACAAGTAAGGCTACCTTTAAACACACTCCCTTCTCCCATACACATATTACTATAAATGAGATATGGCATATTCTAATATTTCAGTCTTTCCTTGCCACCTATAGAACACTCATGTGGTGATGCCACAGATTTGTCTCTTTTTCCCTGTCACAGAAATTCAGTTCATAAATAAATTCAGAATCTTGTCCTAAATTCAGTTGTCCTACTAAAATTTCCTCGTGGGGAGTGGCTCAGGATTTCATGGTCTCCCTGACAACCATAGGCCTGTCTCGGGTAACAACAGGCCCCACACACGGTGCAGGTCACACTTTTGATCAGGTGGGCAGCAGAAAGGATTGAACAGAGTCCCGTCACAGACAAATCATTACTTGCTGGGGTTTAGACTTCCAGGAATACCAAGAATTCAGGGGGTATGGGATTGATTAAGATGATCTGCCCCCGTAGCCTGATGGACCCGGCTGGTTTTCAGATGGCATTAGGGGATATTCTGGCTGATACGGTTGGTGCTCCTGTCAGTGCCCTGGTTGACCTTTGGAATGCGGAAATGACCCAGGCAATTGTCATGATTGCTGCTAGGTGCCATCTCTCAGTTCTAAGAGCTCAGTCAGCCCACAGGAGGAGGTAGACTGCTCTGCAGCCCACCGCAGTCATTTTGCTACACACTTTGCTTATTGGGATCTGCCATCTGCTTGTATGACCCTTGTCTCTCCCAGCTGCTTAAATCTGCTGGGGGAAGGGGGCTGGTGGACTGGGTCTGTGAGACAGTGAATGCTTCCTTGAAAGAGGGGGTAGTCACTCCTGCCTATAACCTGGTGGCAGTGATGTGTCTGCTCCTAAAGAAACCTACTCTGGACCCAGGAGAGTAGAATAACTACTATTCAGTGTCATATTATGTAACATTCTTGAGCAAGGTGATTGAACATATGATGGCTGGGCAGCTTCAGAGGTTCGTGAATGAAGCAGATTGTTTGGATCTGTTCCAAAACAGTTTCATGCGTGGTCATGGATGACTTGCACTAGGAGATGAACAAGAGGAGTGCAACCCTGTTAATTCTCCTGGACATCTTAGTGGCTTTTGATGCCATCGAACATGGTATCTTTTTGGACTACATTTT